TAATCTGTACATTTTTAATTTTTTTTAATTCTGTCATAATTTAGACAGAATTATGTTTAATTCTAATTTGAGTGTTCCACACAAATTAGCTATAAATTAGTCCTGATGTCCACTACAATGGACATGCTGTAAATTTTAATAAAAAATATTTAAAAAAAAATAAAATGCTAAGGTGTTCATTTTAGCCTAAATAAGTAGGAAATCACAAAAAAACTGAAATTGGAAGACACTTGTTTTCTTCGGTTCTCAGGAGGGTAGAACAGGTTCCTGCCGTGCATTGCATGGGCAGGCCCCAATAAAGGCAAATTCAAGACGGCTGACTCATTTTACCTGAGGGAGAGATAAGACCCACCCACCAGAACGTCATCACGTTGCTAACGTCATGACACTACACTCGAACCTTTTGAGTGTTCCACACAAATTAGCTATAAAATATTGAGCCCTGTTCAGTTAAAGTGGCATAAATCTCAACAGATCTCAAAACTTTATAGTTTGGTCAACTTCATAACGACATTTGACTGCTGTGAACTTATTAGTTCTGAGATAGTGCAACTGTTTGGGAATACAGTGTACGGTGAACTCTGACTCATATGCAGCTAACGTCGCTGCTGCTCTCCAGCCAGGTAAGCAGTTTGGAGATATATCCAGGGGTGAAAATAGGGGGGTACGGCAGGGTACTGCGTACCCCTAAAAGATTTAGCCGGGGTATGGAGTACCTGCAAGAAAGGGGAGCGGCTGTCCGCTGTAAAAAATCAGTGGGTTCACTGTGCAGCCGTGAGTGATTAGTTTTTCAAGAACAATCTAAAACATGACTTAATCAGTTAATAAATAGTTTTTTCACCATTTCATATTGTTTCTGAACTCTTAGTGCTTTACTAATGCAGAGCTGCAATATGTCAATAGCAGAAGGTTTTGAGTCAATCTCAGCATTAGGAGACAAACTGAACTCCGCCAGGACGCTGAGACCAGCAGGTCCTCCTCTGATTGGCTTATCAAAACGTTCGTAACATTATAGTATCACAGGCAGATGTTCATGGCATACTAAGTTGTTGTTGACTCTTCTGAAATTGTCTCCTAATCTGGACTTTGTGATTAAACATTCTGGAATACTGGCTCAAAAAGCCTGTATTCCAACATGTACTCCTTCAAATGGGGATGTAAACACATGTTGGTGCTGCAGTGCAATGGGCCAAACAGTTGAACACATTTTAAGACATCTGTAGATATTGTTCAGTTATAGAAGTATGCCATGAAGAAGTATGTTTGGAGAAAGAATATTAAAACAATAATCTATCTTATCCATTAAAATATATTTTACATGTGTGCTAGGAGCACTGAAAAACTTAGTTTTGGTTGAATTGATGATATAAAAGAAGAATATGCATGAATACATACAATAGACTTTTGTTAAACGTGATCTTTCTTTGATATTCCTCTCACAACTTAACCAATAATAATAATAATAAAAACATGTTCCAGAGTGGTTCGTTGTACATAAAGTATTTTTGTGAATAATATTCAAACTAATGTTAATGTTCACTGATTGCTTTAAAGACCTAGAGTCATGCTATATTGGAGTGGTAGTGACACCATTCCACATCACAATACAGGACTTAAACTACAGATGATTTATCAGTATTCAGTTGCTTAACTCTTGAGTTTAAATTGGAGGACAAAATGGTTGAAAGTATGTGATACCTTCTGATAGAGTATAAACATTTGTATTCTTTTTTAAAAGTTTTGTTAGTTAAGCACTAAATATAACTCATGGATAATGAATCATTATATTCTGTATAAACTAAAAAGGAGACAGCTCAAAGTAGAATTGAGTAAATAAACATCTACACATTTAAAAACATTTTAGCAATTAATTATAATAAAAATAAAATATACTGTCACGTAACTTTGGAAAAAATAACTTTTTAGAATATATTTTTTTCTGTCAACTTTCATTTAACACTCCAGTCCAGTTGGTGGCAGTAATGCGCTTTCATAGTTGGCCAGGCAGCCGCCATTAAACTCCAGAGGAAGATTTGCACCGGCGTTGTGTGAAATGGTGGAAAAAGTCCTATTTCACGGAGTTACTTTTTCAGTATCGCTTTGATATCAAGCAATGTTCCGGCGGAAAACAACAGATGACACCGCGGCGGTCCAACTAGGCCAAACTCACGGTAAGAAAGCTTTTATGAATAGCGAGCACGTGCAGCGAGGCGAGTTGCTTTGTTTGTTTCTTACAGAAAGCGGTCTGTCGTTTTTATAATGTCAAAACAAGTGTAGGGAGAGATTTCGTACTGCAATTTTTTTATTACATGTGATGTTCTG